GCAGGAGGTAGCAGCTGCCGAAGCTGAGGGCAGATCTCAGCGTCAGTTCACGCATCAAAAGGGAGCTTTAAAGACAGACGAAGGATCAAGAAGGTGAACATAAAATTTTAATAAGAATAAAAAACTGCAGCCTTCCTGCTAACTAAATTTGTGGGATGATTTCAGACTGTATAATCAGAGAATCCAGAGACAACGCATGCCAGCCTCTCGTGACTTTGCCACTGCAGTTATTGTCCAGACTTTCTACCTATCTCTCCTTCGAGCGCCACGATGCTTGATCATGATGTGCGAACTTTGTCGGACATCAACTGTTGAGCTGACTGGAAGCTACTCAAGATCTTACAGGCTGCAATAAAAGCCTTCAAGACCAGGATGCACGACCTCTTATTCGCTGGAGACTGCCCGATGAATAGAAAACTGGACTGGACGTGCAGCAAATTCTAGACATCTTAGGCTGTGGCTGCGCAAGCTTGGAACTAACTGGTAACAGGAGGAAAAGAGAAACGGTATTAATACGTCAGCCGGCGTTAATCATGGTCACTATCAGCGACTGGTGTCTCTGTGCAGCTGACGAGCCCCCCTACCTGGGAGGCAGCATATCAACAAGAACTCCAAAGCCAGCAAGTCTTTCAAAGCACTGCAACGTTCAGCATGAAATGCATGGAGCTAAAAATGTATCGGGTTTTTTTGGTAACAATACTCCTCCAGGGATTCGAGACGCAAAAGCATTATCAGAACGAGACGAGATAACTGGATTCCTTTCAGCTAAGCTTCAATCGAGGAGCGCGGGAAGTGATGTGTCAAGGAAATATCCTACATATTAAACGCGTGAACACAACTGGTATGTGTCAAGACAAATTATATTGCTTAAACTGCCTACCAAGTGGCACGACCAGTCGACGTTTGCTAGGAGAATCCGTAACAACCGATGCGCTCGCACGCCGTTTTATCGACTCATTTATACGCCATGCGCGTAGTGATGTCGCACCAGCTCCAGATAGGATCGGCACTATGCAGCCAATCAGGTGGGCCGGAAGCCCAGTCGATATGCTAATCACTCAAGGACACTATCTGATTAGTCGGATTTCAGCCTGACCTTGGCCCGACCTTTTTCGCCTTAAGTACGCTGGCAGAATATGCCAACAAACTTATTTTCTCCTGTCCTTGCTGCTGAGTTCTGATTGGGGGATTCGACAGGGGCGATTTGCAGGACGGGCGACCATCGAGGCGTACGGCAAGTTCACAAGAGAAGCCAACACAAATTCGATAGAATCGTTGTTGTGAGGATTGCTTGCCTAAACAACTCTTCCGTAATGACGCCGCTACGGGTACTTACAAGTCACGCGGCTAATAGCAACAATGTAACGGCACCTTACAGAATTCGTTTAAATGCCTGGTAACCAATAAAGAGTCATGAGAGACACTGGTACAAGCTTGACAGGCATGGTGACGCACCGTAAAAAGGGGGTGAAAACGACTTTGAAGTCAACCGAATACGAGAGGTCAAAATGTCCAAACGAGATTGTGGCGTCTCGGACCAGTGCTGCCAACGGCTGATTCTCCTGTTGGCCTACGACGTCCGCTCAATTGGACCTGGTTGACTAACCTCTCATCCATCAAGCATCGATACAGCACCATCTGCAAAAAAGCCCACCTCGATCGGAATTGCCTATATGGCTCCCCTCCTGAAAGGACACTGGAATGGAAATGTTTCCCCACTGGTGGCCTTGCGACAAATGCAGATGTTCCTGCGTCCTGACTGTAATCCAAACCTTAACTCTAACCTTATTTTAATGCTAGCCGTAACGCTTAGCATATTATCTATCCTAACTTTACCTTAACCATAACCCAAAGTTCCCTGGAATTTAGTGTCAAGCGGACGGTCCTTATGCTCATGTCCCGCCGATTGTGGGAGGGGCGTCTGAAAGCATATAAGCAATCCCTACCAAAGTCTGTCCTCGAGGGGTTTCCGAACGTTACCATTTCTACTGGCTCGCACTGAAAACTCCCATATGTGTCAGAACACGAATAATACCGAGAGAGAGAGGGTTATCACCAGTACCATAAGATTAATTATAACTTGTCCCTAAAGTGCCGTTGTGTTCCACTTGTACATTTACATTATCAAACACCTGCAAAGTCATTGTTATATGCAAATGGTCAGAGACGATTAGGACTTAGTCGAAAGTTCCGGTGGCCCGTTGGTTATGCCATGCAGCGTCAAACAACAGATGAATAAAACTGACGAAATCTACTGGAGCCCGTAAATCACGATTGTTTTCTCCAAAACCTCTTGAAGTAGGTCTCCGCTTCGAACACAATTGTGAATAACTATCTGATCTGGCAAAACCTGAAATCGGTCAGTCAGCTGTTGATGATATTAACATAAATAAATATAATATATGATAATATGTATTTACCTATTTACCATGCCAACATGAGTATCAAGATCTCGAACGCACCAAAATGAACCCTACTTATTCCACTCCCAGCGGTCACAGAACACTCTGCAGTTGGGCGTGTTGACTCGGTTATTTCGTACGTGATAAACTCTCCGTGAAAAAAGCCCAGCCATTGCTTGGGCTGCACCCTTACTCAATGGGGCATCACACTTTGATTAGCCAGCTGATTTCACACGTACACTTCGTAGCTGGCTTCGCAAACTGGGCGGTTCGTGGCCGCGTTTACAATTCCTTTTCGGTCGTATTTCCTTCCTCTACAACATCAGCGGAGTCGTTTACGGAGACTGAATTCAATACTGTGCATGTCAGACTGCCTTTGGGCTTCTCAACAACGGCAAAGTCGTTGATCATTTGAAGTAAACGCGTAAAGGGGGAGGGGCTACGGTGTGAATTCCGACAACACACAGAAAACTGTCTCACCTATAGTAATTCCATACAAGCATGAGATGCCTGGCGGCATTCGCACGTTTGGGACCCGAGGCCCGACTTGAAAGGCAGCGATGTACAATTTTGTCCAGCCAAACAATCCAACAACTGAGGCTGGCCTTGACGGAGATGAGGGTGTGCAGCTCAGAGTGCAGCTGTACGAGAGTGATGCCACCGGAGCGCCGACGCCGCCTCTCACTGACAGCGTCCACCATTTTGGGCTTCTTGTTTAAAACGTCTACGTCTTCCATGCCTGCACACCGCTCTGCTTCATCCTCCTCTTCCTCCTCATCCTCATGGCTGGCCTCTCTCAAGACCTCCTCTTCTTCCTCCTCATCCTCCGCCTCCTCCACCTCGGTCCTGCCAGTGCTGATGGTTGGTTCCGGGGTCTCGTGTAGTGGGTCCATCAGCGCTGTCCACGTTGGCAGACAGTCGCTTGCCCATGAACCCTGCGCCTTTAATGGTCGGAGGTAGTGCGCGGGGGGCGAAAAGATATCGAGCGTGTAACTTATGCATTTT